AGAAATAAACCTTCACATATATGGTAAACTAATACTTCACAAAGATAACAAGAATGCTCATTGGGGAAAGAGTAGTTTCTTCAATAAATGGTGTTGGGGAAACTGGATAGTCATATGCAGAAAATAAAATTGGATCCCTATCTTACATCGCTCACAAAAATGAACATGAAATGGATTAAAGACTTGAATTTAAGAACTGAAGCGATAAAACTCACAAAAGATAATATAGAGAAAAAGTTTCATGACATTGGTCTTGGCAGTAATTTTCCAGATATGATACCAAATGCACAAGCAATAAAAAAAAAGAAATAACAAATGGATCACATTGAACTACCAAGCTTCTGCAAAGCACATGAAACAACAAAATGAAAAGGCAACCTATGAAATTGGAGAATACTTGCAAATCATATATTTGATATAAAGTTAATATCCAAAATCTATAAAACATACAGCTAAGTGGCAAAAAACAAAAACAAATAATCTGACAAAATGGGCAAAGGACTTGAATAGACATTTTCACAAAGAAGACATACAATTGGCTAATAAGTACATTGAAAGATGCTCAACATCCCCAACCATCAGGGAAATGCAAATCAAAACTACAACGAGATAACACCTCACAGCTGTTACAATGAATATCATTAAAAAAATCAAATAGATAACAAATGTTGGTGAGGATGTAGAAAAAAGAAAACCCTTGTGTACTGTTTGTGAGAATGTCAATTGGTACAACTACTATGGAAAACAGTATGGAGTTTTCATTAAAAATAGAACCATCATCTAATGCAGAAATACCACTTTGGGCACATATCCAGGAAAATTGAAAACAGGATCTTAAAGACTATTTGCATTCCCATATTTATTGAAGCACTAGAGGCCTGGTGCACGAAATTCATACATGGGGGAGTGGGAGGGTGTCCCTCAGCCCAGCCTGCACCTCTCCAATCTGGGACCCCTCAAGGGATATCCCATTGCCCATTTAGGGCAGTCAGACATCCCTCTCACAATCCAGGACTGCTGGCTCCCAACTGCTTACCTGCTTGCCTTCCTGATTGCCCCTAACCACTTCTGCCTGCCAGCCTGATCACTCACTAACCACTGCCCTGCTAGCCTCATTGATGTCTAACTGCTCCCCTGCCAGCCTGTTTGTCCCCAACTTCCCTCCTCCGCTGGCCTAGTCACCTCTCACTGCCTTCTCCTGCAGGCTTGATTGGCCCCAATTGCCCTCCCTTGCAGGACTGGTCCCTCCCTGCTGGCAATCTTGTGGTGGCCATCTTGTGTCCACATAGGGATATGATCTTTGACCACATGGGGGCAGCTATCTTGATCTTGTGTGTTGGAGTGATGGTCAGTCTGCATATTACTCTTTTATTAGATAGGATAGAGACCTGGTGCAGGGTGGGGGCCAGCTGGTTTTTCCTGAAGGGTGTCCCAGATTAGGGTGGTGGTTCCGTTGGGGCATGGGATGGCCTGGGCGAGGGCCTGTGGTGGTTTGCAGGCTGGCCACGCCCCCTGGCGACCCAAGTGGAGGCCCTGGTATCTGGAATTTATTTACCTTCTACAATTGAAATTTTGTAGCCTGGAATTGAGCCAAGCCTTCAACTCGCTCCTTGGTGGCAGCCATTTCTATTGGGGTTTATTCACCTTCTATAATTGAAACTTTGTAGCCTGGAGTGGAGGCCTAGGCCAGCCAGGGCAGGTGGAAAACTTGGCTTCCTCCATCACTGGGGGCAACCCTAGCCTGCTCTCTCCAGCTCTGTGGCTGCCACCATTTTTCTTGGGCTTTATCTTCTCTAATTGAAACTTTGTAGTCTTTAGCAGAGGCCTGGGCTGGCCAGGGTGTGCAGAAAGCTTGGCTTCCTCCATTGCCAGAGAAACTCTAGCCTCCCTCCTGCTCTCTGGGGTGGCAGCCATCTTGGTTGGGGTTAATTTGCATACTTGCTCTGATTGGCTAGAGGGCATGGCTTGTGGGTGTAGTGGAGTGATTGTTAATTTGCATATTCCTCTTTTATTAGGATTATTCATAATAACCAAGATATAGAAACAATTCTATGTCCATCAATAAATGAATGAATTAAAAATGTTTTATACACATATACATGCAAATATTATCCAGTCATAATAAAGAAGGAAATCCTGCCATTTGCAACAACTTGGATAAAAGTTGAGGGCATCATACTAGTGAAATAAATTCAAACAGAGGAAGACAAATACTGCACAATATCACTTACTAATATATATGGATCTAAAAAAGCCAAACTCATGGAAACAAAGAGTAGAATGGTGACTGTCAGGGGCTGCGGGTTGGAGAAATGGAAGATGTTGGTTAAAAGTTACACATTTTCAGTTATAAGATGAACTAGAGGCCCAGTGCATGAATTCATGGTTGGCCTGTGGGATCAGGCCGAAATTGGCTCTCCAACATCTTCCCATGGTTTCTGGATTGCGAGAGGTCACAAGTCAGGCCAAGGGACCCCACCAGTGCACAACTGGGGCCAAGGAGGGATGTGGGAGGTTGGCCAGCCAGAGAGGGACTGTGGGAGGGCTCCAGAGCATGTCCGACCTGTCTCGCTAAGGCCTGATTGTCGAACCCCAGCAGCAAGATAACTTACTGGTCGGGGCATCTCCCCACTTGTGGTCAGTGCACATCATAGCAACTGGTCGACCTGCTGCCCCCTGGTGGTCAGTGCACATCATAGTGAGCGGTTGAGTGGCCTTACTATATCACTAGTATATTACGCTTTGATTGGTTGAATGGACAACTGGACGAACGGACACTTATCATAATAGGATTTGATCATATAGGATAAGTTCTGGAAATAAAATGTACAGCATGGCAGTACTAGTTAATAATACTGTGTTATATACTTAAAAGTTGCCGAGAGAGTAAATTTTAAATATTCTCACAAAAATGATGGAGGTGTTAGCTAACAGTATGATGTAATCATGCCACATATCAGCAAATCAAATCATCACACAGTACACCTTAAATTTACCCAATGCTATATGTCCACTGCTTCTCAGTAAACCTTGGAGGGTAGAGAGGAACATAGACTCAGGAGTCAATCTGCCTGGGTGCAAGATCTGGCTGTGCTGGTAATTAGCTTCTCTGTGCTTTAGTTTCTTCATCTGTAACAATATTGCCGACCTCATATGTTTGTTATGAAGATTAAATGAGCTAATCAATATAAAGCACTTAGCATGGTGCTGGGTGAGAGTAATATTCTTTAAGTATTAGCCATTATTAAAACAGGAGAAGACTGCAGGGTGAAAACTGTGAGAGGGAAACAGGAGATAGAAAATTCCTTTTTCCTTCATTTTCTTCTGTTAAGAGCAATAGCTGCAATTGTCTCTGATCCTTAGGTTCAGGATAAAAACGGATTAAGAAGGAATAGTAGTGTAGTTCTTTGCACATAGAAGTTTAACATTTCTTTAATGAGAATTGACAGGCATAAATGGTCATCGGAGAGAAAGCTGACTTAAGGCTTTTATTTTGCAGCTGTTTCTCTCCATCCTCCATGAACACTGGATATTCTTCCTTTTTCTTCATGTTTTCTTCTATATTTCCATCTTAAAAGCAGGAGGATAATGAAGTTGAATAACACTGACCCCACAGTGTAGTCACTTGACAGGGAAGCAGGCAGAGCAGGAGAATTATTATACTTATGTAACCTTTTCCTATGTGGTAAAGGGCAGGATTTCTCCAGACTACTACACCCGTCTCTTGGTTAGAAATACACTCAGACCTGCAGTTCTTGGAGGACACCTGTGGCTCATTTTATGGCTGACTTAGCTTTCATAAAAAGAATTTTGTCCCTGCTCATTCTTATTAAAATTTTTTTTTCTTTTTTTTAATCAGCAAAGGATGACTCATGACTTTAACTTGTGAGTGTAACAGTGAATTGTGGAGAGATTTATTTGGTGTCTTATGCACTTTTTTATTTTATTTATTTATTTTTTCCCTTTTGGGGCATCTGTGGACTCTTTTTGGAAGAAAAACAATCAGAAAACATCTTTTTTCTGTACACATCCCAACTTTTACCCCTGCACTGTAGAAGGCAAATTCATTAGGTTGCCTACTTCAAAGAAAAAAGATGATCATGGCTCTGTGCTTTGGAGGTAGAAGAGGGAAATGGTCGGGTTCATTCTGATGAAGTTCACTGGAGATGGTGGAACCACTGGTCGAGATGGCTGTTTGGTTACCCAAGGAAAGCTCTAATCATCTCAGCCTTGTGAGGTCCTGTCGGGGAGGACAGTTAGGGGGACCAGGCCTGCAGGGGAGGGCCCATGTCTGAGGTCAGCACTTGGGGAGAGCACAACAATCTCACCAAAGCTGGCAAACTTCCATTGAAGCATGCAGGTCTGGGCAAGGACCAATGGCAAAGGCATCCAAAAGTAACTAAAAGCTATCAGTCTCCACTATTTTTCTTGACCATTGGGTCATAAGAACAGGAAGACACTGACATTCTTATCAACTTGATGAGAGAAGAAACTAACTTGATATAACTTGTGTGTGTGTGTGTGTGTGTGTGTGTGTGTGTTTAAAACAACCAAAGACACATGATATTGTTTGCATTCAGTGTTATAGAGCAATCTTTATCTTGGCTTTATGTCATTTATGACAGATCCTAATGTATCTAGTAATAGATCAAGAGATAAAAACACTCAATAGAATAAATTAGAGTTTAGCAAAGCCAACTATATGTAGTTTATAAGAAACACATTATAACTATGCTTTTGCTGATTTTAGAGAGAGATGAAAGGAGAGGGACAGAGACAGAAACATCAATGAGAGAGAAGCATTGATTGGCTGCCTCCTGCACATCCACCTCACACCAGGCATTGAGCCCCCAATCCAGGCATGTGCCCTGATCAGGACTCGAATCTGTGACCACTTGGTTCCTGGGTCGATGCTCAATCAGCTGGGCCATTATAAATAAAATTTTTAAGCACAGGTAAATTAAAGGAAAATGGTACAAAATTTATATATATTGCAAACATTTATTTATTTATTTATTTTGGTACCAAATTCCTTTTTTTCAAGGAAGGGTACAAATGAGAGACATGAGGGATGATTTGATACAAGTTATAGAAAAGGTAAAGGTAACTCCAACATGCATACTGCTTGGGTGAGCAGGAAGTCACCCCTGAGGCTACAGGAAGCAGCCAAGGCTTAGCTCTCGTCACAGCTCCCCGGGAGTCACAGCTCCCCGGGGTGTGCTCCTCAAAGAGATACTCGGCCATGCCAGTCTCAGGGGCCCCCAACCTGCACAAGTTGGTTATATGGTCACCCAGTTCTTTGATGGATTTCACCTGCTTGTTCAGGTAGTGAGTCTCTAGGAAGTCATACAAACGAGGGTCATTTTATGGGTGGCCCATTTGTGCAGGTCCAGTGGTGACTGACTCACACCTTTTCCCAAGTGCAGCGCACACTCCATTGCCTTCAGCCCCTTCTCCCAGCCCACGGTCTGGTTTCCCGATATCCTGAAGGAAGATCCATCCGCCTGGCTGGTTCTGCAGCTTCATTAGCTTCTGGGAATGTTCCCTCTCCTCCTGAGCTTGGGGAAGAAAATATATGGCCAAGTTCTTCAGAGCCACATCATTGTGGCCAAAGTAGTAAGACATGGGCAGGTAGACGTAGGAGGCGCCAACAGCACGGGGTTGACCTGGCGGTTGATGGTGGTCGTTCTGGTGCACCTGCAGGGTGGGCGCAGTGGACGAAGTGGTGGGAGGCTGAGGAGCTGCGGCTGCACAGCGCTGGGGAGGAGGCGGGGTCCTGGGGTGGTCCTGGGTCCGAGGCGCTGCGAGGAGGGCGCTGCGAAGAGGCCAGAGCGGGCCTGGCTGCGGCGGAGACTGCAAAGCAACTGCCTGGTAGGTCCAAGCCCTGTTGATGCAGGAAACCTCGGCTGTTCTCCGCCAAGACTGTCGCAAACATTTATCTTAAGAAAATGAAAGGGACACTTCAGGTCAAGAAATACTACTGGAGATAAAATAATGTGAAGCAAAAACTGACAACTGAAAATAGAAGAGAAATTTACAATAATACAGAAAAATGTCAACTTTCTTCTCTTAGAAATTGATAAAACAAATAGAGAATTTCTTATTATATAAGAATGGAACAACAAAATCAATCAACTTGATCTAAACAATTATTTAAAAAATATATATTTTATTGGTTCTTTACAGAGAGGAAGGGAGAGGGACAGAGAGCCAGAAACATTAATGAGAAAGAAACATCAATCAGCTGCCTCCTGCACACTCCCTACTGGGGATGTGCCCACAACCAAGGCATATGCCCTTGATCGGAATCGAACCTGGGACCCTTCAGTCCACAGGCCAATACTCTATCCACTGAGCCAAAATGGTTTTGGCTAAACCATTATTTATAGAACAGTCCACCAAACAACAATAGAATACCTATTATTTTCATAACACATAGGTAAATCATCAAGATAGACTATATTCTGGACCATACAGAGTCTAAGAAATGTAAAATATTAAAAGCACAAAGGACTTGTATGCATGATTATAAGCCTAACCAATGGACATGAACACCAGGGCAGTGAGGACATGAGTGGGGGTGGGGGAGTTGGGGAGTTAATGGAGGGATGAAGACACATATGTAATACCTTAATCAATAAAGAAATTTAAAAAAGCATATAGAATGTATTCTCTGATCACAGAATAAATTAATCCTATATAATAAAGAGGTAATATGCAAATTGACCATCACTCCAACACACAAATGGCCATCCCCATGTGGACACAAGATGACCACCACAAGATGGCCTTCAAGGGAGGGCATTTGAGGTGATCAGGCCTGCAGGGGAGGGCAGCTAAGGGTGACTAGGCCAGCAAAGGAGGGTGATTGGGGGTGACTGGGCCAAAAGAGGAGAGCAGTTAGGGGTGACCAGGCCTGCAGGGGAGGATAGCTGGGGGGGACCCAGGCCTGCAGGGGAGGACAGTTAGGGGGACCAGGCCTGCAGGGGAGGGCAGTTAGGGGCAACTGGGCCAGCAGGGGAGCAGTTAGGCATTAATCAGGCTAACAGGGGAGTGGTTAGGGGGTGATCAGGCTGGCAGGCCAAAGCAGTTAGAGGCAGTCAGGCAGGCAGGCAGGTGAGCGGTTGGGGGCCAGCAGTCCTGGATTGTGAGAGGGATGTCCAACTGCCCACTTGGGATCAGGCCTAAATGGGAAGTTGGATATCCCTTAAAGGGTCCCATATTGGCGAGGGTGCAGGCTGGGCTGAGGGACACACACTCATGCACAAATTTTTTTCACAGGGCCTCTAGTTATTAAATGATATTTTTCAGGGTATTTATAAATAAAAAACCAAAACAATAATTTGAAAGAATATATGCATCCCTATGTTTATTGCAGTGTTATTTCTAATAGCCAAAATATCAAAGCAACCTAAGTGCCCATCAATAGATGAGTGGATAAAAAAGCTGTCGTACATATGTTATTTAAAACAATGAAATCCTACCATTTGCAACAACATGGATGAAGCTAGAAAGTAAAATAAGTCAGAGAAAGACAAATATATGATTGCTCTTATATGTGAAATCTATAGAACATAACAAAGAAATAAAATGGAAACAGACTCATTTCACACTTGGATGTGGAATCTAAAGAATAGAATAAAGAGACATCACTGGCTTCTGCAGTCTTCGATCAAGAGAAGAGTGCTAGCCATCAGCAGGGAGAAGTATACTACTTCTATAGGGCTCTTGGGAATCTGAACATTCAAAATTTGAGTTGAAGTATCAAATCTAGGTGTCACCCACATGCCAGGATCTGATTTTTCACTCAACTAGGACCATGACCTGAGCATAGCAGGTCCACCCAAGTTAAGACTTAATCTTCTTTGAAGTTTAGCTACTCTTATGTTAGTTCCTGGGTCTGATCTCAGTTTTCTCAGCTCTTCTGCTGAGGAAGACGAGAGCTTCTTTATATGCCACTAAGAAGAGCATATAAAGAAGCTCTGCCATTCACCTCTAGCTTATCTTCTTCTAAAGCCTCAGTTGAGTTAGAAAAGCCACTCAAGTCCATTGCCTTTATGGTTAGTATTTCACTCCTATTTCTCAAGTGGCACTAACCAACATCAGCCAGTGTACTTTCTCCCGCCAGCACGCCATCCAGCTTCGTTACTTGGTCATTTAACACCTGCACTACCACCATATACAGGGCTGTCTGTCCTCCCCCCTACCACCAGCAGCACCACTATCACAGGTTGGATTCTTCAGGAAGCAGACTCCAAGGTGAAGATTATCATGCAAAGGGTTTATTAGGGAGGGTCTTTAAGTTCAAGACTTGGGGAAGGAAAAAGGAGGGGAGAGAGGGCAGGGGATAGGAAAGGAGGGGAAGGAATAGGATTGGACAGAAGGAGAAACTGAGATGGGATAGTTTAAAGGAAGCTTCGGCCAGCCCTGTGGTGATTTCTGAAGATGAGAAGATCCTTCAGAGTTGTTCCCGTTTGAGGTGAGAAGGCTGGAACTTTACATCCCTGTGTTAAACAGTCACTGGACATGGTCACCCTGAGAAGGGGTGTGGTTTTCTTCAGCCAGAGGCAACCCCCCCCCCCCCATTTTGGAACAACTGCCTCTTTATTCCTAGGGAATTTGAGTGGTGTATCATAGCGATCACCCCTTGCTTCTATAGAAGGACTGACATTGGCTGTGTGTGCATCGGTGGCAGGATAAACTAAAGCCATGTGCTTCCATGTATGTCCTGGGCTCCAGTCTTTGTGACCTGTTACCTCCTAGAACTTCTGCTTATGAGCCTTCCTTCCTTCCTTCCTTCCTTCCTTCCTTCCTTCCTTCCTTCCTTCCTTCTTTCCTTCCTTCCTTCCTTCCTTCCTTCCTTCCTTCCTTCCTTCCTTCCTTCCTTCCTCCCTCTCCTCCTCCTCCTCCATCTCCTCCTCCTTCTTCTTTTATTTATTTTTCTTTAGCTGGATTTTCTTGTTTCTGTTTTGAATATGTTGTAGACAAAAAAGGGGCTACATACTTAAACTTGACAAACTAAAGTAACCACATAGGATGGTCTAACACTGAAACTTCCTAACTAAAACTGAGTCATGGACAGTAGTCATGTCCAGTGGTCAACAAACTCATTAGTCAACAGAGCCAAATATCAACAGTACAATGATTGAAATTCCTTTTGAGAGCCAAGTTTTTTAAACTTAAATGTCTTCTAACACCACTTCTTCAAAATAGGCTCGCCCAGGCTGTGGTATTTTGTGGAAGAGCCACACTCAAGGGGCCAAAGAGCCACATGTGGCTCGAGAGCCGCAGTTTGCCAACCACGGTCCTAGGCTGTGATCTACCTTGACAAACACCAATGTTTACCTTAACTGGGCTAGTCTATTGTCTTTATGCAGCTACAATAATTTACCTTTGGAATGTCAGAGTAATCCCTTTTCCCCCAGACTTCTCAGGGCACACTCACTCACCAAAGCAGGAAACAACAGGACCCCTCATTGCTATCTTATTCCCCACATACCATCTTTAAAAAAAATAAATAAATAAATTAAAAAAATAAATAAATAAATATATATAAATATATATATATATATATATATATTTTTTTTTATATATATAAAATTATTGATTTTTTTACAGAGAGGAAGGGAGAGGGATAGAGAGTTAGAAACACTGATGAGAGAGAAACATTGACCAGCTGCCTCCTGCATACCCCCTACTGGGGATGTGCCCGCAACCAAGGTACATGCCTTGACTGGAATTGAACCTGACACTCTATCCATTGAGCCAAACCGGTTTTGGCCCCCACATACCATCTTTATGTGCTGTAAATGTGAGCTACCCTGGCCCCACCAACGTAAAAGAAGTATTTGTCTCTCCGTTTCACTCTTCACCTAATCTTAGAGATTTCCCTGCTTTGCTTTCTCCGGCCTCCCTAATCTACCACCAATGAATTTTATATACGTAACCCTACTTATGCCTCCTCTTTGATCCTAATGTATAAAATAAACTGCTAAACTGCCATTCTCTGGAGCATTTTCTCAATCCATGGAGATTTTGCTTCCCAGCAATTGTCATCAGATTTGCTCAAATCAACTCATGAAAATTCTCTACAGCTTCATATATTTCCTACATCAACAACATTCGTAATTATTGTTTATTAAACACGTATAGTACCAGGCTCTGTGCTAAGGGATATACATGATTTCCCTTCATGAATTATTTAATCATTACTTTAATCCTATTTAGAAAGCATGAAATTATTCTTTTGCGGATAAGAACATAGAGATGCAGAGTGAGTACGATTGCCAAGTCACACAGCTGGTTCTTGTTGAAATTTGTTTGTGAATCCAGATCTGACTCCAAGTTCCATATTCTCAGTGATGATACTCACCTGCTTCTTGATCTCCACCTCCCTCAGTCAAGGTCAGTTAAGTGCACTGTAGGCCACTGTTTGTGACCAGCATATAGTCCTAAACAAGGCCTGATTTGAGGCACATCTTATAGAAACATTTATTAAAGTTATGACCATTTCCTGATACATTCCTACCGCTATATTCAATCCCAAGACTCAACTTACCTGGGAAGGCTCAACTGAAGTTCTAATTGCACTTTTCCCAGGTATTTCAGATCCGAAAAACCTGTGCCTAACAAAGCTCTCCCACTGAAGAAAACCACTTTCTTCCATTTTCTCTGCTTAGTATCTTCATATATGTATTGGCTCCCTTCGACAGATTGTAAACATCACATGCATTCTTTCCCATCACTACCCTACATGACAAATCGTACACAGGAGACATCTCAAAGCACATCACATCAATTTTGTGTTAGTGTCATGAATAGCTTAGACATATGCCTTTGGGCTCTTATTTTTCCTCATTCTCTAATAATGATACAACTTTTATCTTTTCTTAGGTTTCCCAGGGTACTGAAATCCTTATCTACCCTATATATTTTTCATGCTGCACTTCCTCCCTTGTGTGACTCTGCTCTGGGAACCGCAGGCAGTAAAGTTTATTAGAAGTGACTAACACAGCTGGCTGTTATGTCCTATATATCAGCTCTCACAGATGTGGTCAAATTTGTTGTTATTGTTATGCTTAGATTCAACAGATCCAGGGAAAATATCTTATGATTTATGGTGTATAGTGTTTAAAAAGAAATGTTAGATTGGTTTAAAATCTTGCTGTATAAAATCTAGTCCGTGGATTAGCAGCTTCACCTGGGAGCTTATATCTCCAATAAATTTAATTTAAAAAAAGAAAGAAAGAAATACAGACCCTTGTGCCCTGCCCAGTGTACACAGAATCAGAATCTACATTCTAATAAGATCTTCAAGTGACTGCTGTGATATTTAGGTTTGAGAAATGCTGGTTTAAAATCAATTTTCTTAGGAGGAAGGGGGAGTGGGGGTGGGGGGACAGGAAGAGACCAACCAAAGAACATAGATGCATACAAGCCTACCTCATGGACACAGCCCATAGTGCATGCAGTAGGCGTGTGGGAGTGTGAAGGTGAATGGGGTCAAAAGGGGGAAAAACGGAGACATGTGTCATACTTTGAACAATAAAGATACATTAAAAAAAAAAAAAGCAATTTAATGGCAGTTCTATACACAGACGGCTATGTCTGGTGCTTCTAACAGTTCTAATCATCCCGACAGTGCTGAAGGTAGGTAAGAGGTGCTATTTCTACTTTGTACGTGAGGAACTTGAGGCGCCGATGTGAACTTACCCAAATCATTCTGCTTCGAATCAGTCGCAGTGATCTTGGAACCCAGAGCTTCTGCTCTGAGGACCTGCTTTCTGATTTTCTACTCAGATGTGGCAGACGCCCAGCATCTGCCTTCCCCAAGACCTTACCATCCCAGCGTGCACTGCTGGAGTGCCCCCTTCCCCTTCAACAGTTCTCAATCAGTGGCTGATGGGAGCTGGTTCCTGAAGATGCCAGTGCCCTGAGCCCTCAGGCGAGGGAGCTCTATGGTGTGTGTTTTACATCCCATCTCAGGGCTTCTCTGCAGGATTAACTTTCAACCCACCTCGGTGGTAGCTGGCGTAATCATTTACCTGTGTGTTGGCCACCTTTCCTTTCCTACTTTTCTGCATCTCCCAATAAGCAATAGATAATTAAGTCCTTATCTCAGACTCTGTTTCTGTGGGGAATCCACATTAACACAGCAGGAATGTAAGCTTGGTTCCTGCAGAGATTCTGAGAGAATCCTCACACCACACTGATAGAAGCACTTGCTCTTATAGAGTGAGGACACGTTTAAGAACAGAGAGGTGTCTTCCTGAGGCTGGTGAGAACGGAGAGATGAGAGTCTGGGATGTTTATTAAAATGAAGTGTCATAGGGGAATTCAAGGAGAATAAAAAGTGCGTTAACGCCTTCCCTAGCAGAGAGATGGTGTGGTTTTCTCCTATAGGAACCTGTCATTACGGGTGTTTAGATAGAATCTCTTGTCCTTTGTTCACAATTATTTTCCTGTGAGAGAAATAGATAAGCGTCTTTGGGGCATACATATTTTATGTCCTTCACACCTTCTTGCATAAAAGCAAGAAAATCTCGTTGTGTGAATTGAACATCGCATGGGGACTGTGGCATAAATAAACAAAATAAAGGCTTTATAGATGCTGAAGTTTGTATTCAGGGGCGGCTTCATGGATGTGTGACAGAGGGCCATGAACTTGTTTTAAGTTGTGCTGTCATTGCCTTGAAATTCTTTTTTTTCTTTAAATATATATTTTACTACAGGCCCGATGGATGAAATTCCTGGAAGGGCCTTGGCCCCAGACGGTGCCCGCCACTACCTCTGCCTTGGCCCCTGCTTGTTGCGGCTTTGTCTGGAAGGAAGTCCAGTTTAATTAGCATATTATGCTTTTATTATGATAGACTAGAGGCTCCATGCATGAAATTCATGCAAGAGTAGACCTTCCTTCCCCTGGCTGCCAGCACCGGCTTCCCTCTGGCACTCAGGACCCAGGCTTGCTTCCTTCTGGCCATCTGAAGGCACCTGGGACCCGGACTGGTTTCCCTCTGGCCCCAGCTTTGTCTGGAAGGATGTTTGGAATGATGCCCAGAAGGACGTCTGGTCTAATTAGCATATTACCCTTTTATTATTATAGATTGGTTTCAGAGAAGAAGGAATAGGGGAGAGAGAGATAGAAACATCAGCGATGAGAGAGAATTATTGACTGGCTGC